CCCCACAACCTCACCAGAATTTGTTATTTTTTGATTTTTGAATTATACCAATCTTCAAAAAAATCATTAGTTCAAAGGATATTTAGGTAAAATATGGATGTAACAAATTTGTTCTATCATCAAATATATCTAATATTTTAACAGCATTTATATGAAACTTCACTATGTGTTCATTCATAATAGCATTATATGAGTAGTATACATTTATTAAATTACTACATTTTAACACATAATTAATACATTACTCTAAACAGCAGAGAATATTTCTTTTAAAAGTGAAAGTGTTTGAATTTGTGGAAAAAAAAAAAAAACAAAATCTCTTTAGAATCTTACCCTCTTCACCTTCAACTCCCTTTCATTTTGCTTGATTGTTTTTCATCATCTTTCCAGAATTCAGTGATTATTTGAGAACTGATTTGAATATTATGCTGATATCCTGACATTGGAAATGATATAAAAGTCATAATAGTTTGAGAGAGAAGATGAATTTTTTTTGTAAGTGGCATTTTATCAGGTAAATGTTTTGGTTCTAATACCAAAGCCATGGGAATTGTAAGTCACAAAGCTGGAAGCAATGCACCATCTGGAATTGAACAGCGTTGAGTGTCTGTCAGTGATGCCTCATTCAAAATGTTTGAATGTAGAAACAAGTGCATATACTACTAGCCCTCATTATTTTAGCTTATCTGGGATCAGAGTCTCACAATGTACAACCTCTTTGGTGTAAGTGTCTTTCAGTACATGAATTCTCCCCAGTAATTCGCTCATCCCAGGTACAATGTTGCACCTTCTGTTATAGGAAATACTTCAGTTCTCTCAAGAGAAGAAATTTGGAACAATCACTATCATTCCTCAAAGACTCTCAACTGGAGATGTTCTTACATTTTCACCAAGTATGTCAGGAAAACAGCTCCCACAACACCAATGCTGTCATTGAGAACTACTTCAAAAGAAGTGTAAAATGATATAAAAACAGACAAACAAAAACAAAACTGAATATGTTAGAAAACTCTTGATTCAGCCAGGACTTAGTCACTGAGATCTTAAAGATGTATTCACATACATGGGCCAACATTTTGCAAGGATTGTTCCTTGGAATAGTGTCTTTCATGGCGTATGATGAGAAATAAGAATACAGACATATAGCTGATTAGAAAATTCAAAGAAGCCATCAGAACATTTAATAATTTAACATAGAAAGACAAAAAATTGTGAAATAGGCAAATTGGGCAGATAGGAATTTATTTATGGAAGTGTAAAAGGTGAATTCTAAATTCAACAGTTTGCTCCTTTTAATATTTCCAAACTGTGAAACTCTGTTGGAACATAAGTTCATAATTTAAGCAAAATACAAATATGTCTCAATGACTTTGTTAAATGGGTTACCAGTATCAACTAAAACTTATAAACATACTTTGATTTAGCACTTCTACTGCAAGTTGTATGCCCAGCAGAAGAGTATATATTAAGATATGTGATATATATATTTATGATTCATATTTGATAAAATTTGAGAAAATACCAAGTCTTCCATCAACAAACAATGTTTATAATTAAGTTCTATTGTAAACTTATAGACTGATAGCAATTAGAATGCATGAAGAAGTATAAAGAATGTTAGGTTGAATCTCAAGTGAAAGAAATTAGAAGAATATGAACTGTATATATCAAAGCAAAACTAACTTCCAGGGTTTCAGATAAGTTTCAAGATGATTTTTGGGAACTGAAGTTCTAAATGTAAAGATACAAGGCTAATGAAAATTGTGTGTTATTTGATCCAGATGATGATCATAAGTGCATACTTTATTAACTTATACACACTATGATTTTTGGGATTTGCCATATACATCTGATATTTCAGTAAAAAGTGTATTTAAAACACATTCGAATATATTCAAGGAGAACCCAAAAAGCAATTGCTTGTACATGACTCTAAGTCACACACAATGGAATTGCAGTACAAATTTCTCTCTTTTTAAATATTCAGGTTGTAACCAACATTGCTTGTGATCTCTCTGTTATGGTTAATGACAAATTTGCGATACTAGGTGACCTTGATTTTGTATGTGAGATAAGGTAGAAAAAGGAGTTATGGAAATGCAAACTGATGGTGACAAGTTTGGGGTACCACAGAATGGCATGATAGAGATCATGCCAAGGACAGATAGTAGGGCTATTATGGGAAGGAGTCCTGTATTTATGTAGAAACAGAACTTGAAGTAAATGAAAAACAGCACTGGGAATCTATGCTTTCTTGTGCTGGAAAGATATAGACATGGAGAGTAGATTGCTGGTGAGTTCTGAGGGACTTAGAAGAGGAGATTGAGGTAGCAACACAGACAAACCCAAATGTCCCAATAACATAAAAGAGGTAGTTGAGAGAAGCTCAGTTTAGACACTGAACATTCTAGAATCTGAAGGACATTGAAATGGGGACAGAAGTTTGGAATGCTGAGTGAATCTTGGACAACATTTCTAGGTAGGAATGCAATGTGGCCAACTGATCTTTGAAAAAAGGTATCGCACCATCATGTTTGTCCTAAAATCTGGAAGCAACAAAAGGGGAAAGTAGGAAACACTTCCTGATATAGAAAATGTGCAGTTGATGAAAGTGTATTAGAATCAGTGGGATCTGGCTTTTCCACTCTTTGGCAGAATGAAACACTTAATGTTGAAATAACGTTGAGGTGAGAAACAACATGGGAAGTCACATGTTTTAAAGTTGCAAAAAAGTGCAGGCATTATGGAGAGTATTATGGAGGTTCCTTAAAAAACTAGAAACTTATCTGTCATATGACCCAGCTCTTTCACTTCTGGGAATATATTCAAAGGAAATTAAATCATTATATGAAAGTGATACCTGCTCTCCCATGTTGTTGTAGCACAATTCACAATAGATGATATATGAGATCAACTCTGATATTCAACTACAGATGAATGAATAAAGAAAATGTGATAAATATACACGATGGAATATTATTCATCCATAAAAATGAATAAAAGTCTGATATGTGTAAAAAAAAGAATGGATGGAATTGAAGATCATTATTGTTAAGTGAAATAAACCAGACATAGAGAGACAAATACAAGTTTTCTTTCATATGTGGAAACAAACCAAAATATGTACAGTTGCTATGACTCTACAATGGTGATGTGGAATCAGCATCGTGGCACAGTGTGTTTAACTGCTATAACTTGCAAAAACAACACCCCTTTATTTGGGAACAAGTTAGTGTCCTGGCTACTCTAGAAATCAGTAGGTTACAGCTTAGGTACCTGGTCCCTGCCACCTGTGCTAGAGAGCAGTGTAGTTTCTAGCTCCTGGTTTTGGCCTGGCCCAGCTCCGGCTTTGGCAGACATTTGGGGAGAAAACCTCTAGGTGGAAGATTCTTTTTTTCTCTCTCTCTGCCTCCTCCACCCCCTGTTACTTACTCTTTATGTCTCCCTGTGTGTCTTTCTGTCAGTCTTCCTTTCAAGCATAAAAAAATAAAACATTTTAAAATAATTACTAATGTTTGAGAAGGTTGTAGGGATAGAGAAAAATTGTATGATGTGTGCTAAAATGCAGTTGGCTGAAGGTAATATAATCTGTTGTTCTACAGAACAGTAGTGTCACTTTAGTTAACATAAAGGAAATGGTGTGATTGGTTTTTGGTGTGTAAAGCTATTGAGTATTGAACTACACATCACGCAAAACGTACAGGTATTTCATATTAACCTGAAATTTCAAAATTCAACTAATAAAAACTTGAATCTTGTAGAGTTTTTCATGGAATAAATGTGAACAGTTACAAGGATGACAGATAAGTCCATGTGAATAAAAAAGTAACAGGAAATCAGAGGAGTAAAATGTGCAGATGATGTAGATGCAGGGGTGTTAGATGGTGAGGCTGGGAAGTTGTGTGATTAGAATGATTAAAAGGCATTAATTTAAGGTACAGGAACCCAGTGTTAACCTCATGCTCCAATATTGCTTCTATTTCATCATGCTCCACTAGAATTTTAAAAGATAATGTGCAACAATTTGAGAGATACAAAAAAGGACAGATAAAATCAGACAATTTATGTTGATAATCTAACTAGCAAGATAACCTATAGACACAGATAATCATGATATAAAGCAGTAGCTATGTGATGAATGAATTAAATAATACAGGCATTTGAAATAAACGGTGAATCCTTAACACTGTGCAGTTAGGGGACTTCTCATGGAAAATCATTTTTGTGTTACTACTTGAAGGATATTTAGCATTTCAAGGAAAAGATCAGAAGTAGCTTTTCTACTCAAAATAGATTATGGTTCCAGGGATCCTTTGTGGGTGAGAAAAGCAGAGTCCATGGCTCTGTCTTGGAAACACGTGGCAGGAAGGCTAAACATTTCACATGATGCAGCAATCTTAATCAGCAAGTGGCCCATTTTCTCTACATGCTATTGATAATGAGGAGTTACTAAAGGTTGAACCAGACTGTCAACAAATATTTCTTTCAGACCTACTATGTGCATTTAGAAAGGCCGGGAGTAAATAACTTTTGGAAACTGGTAAACAATAATAGTTATTACTAGTATAAAGATATTGCATGATAGTTTTTCTAATGATTTTGTTGCACCCAAAATAAATATTGAATAAACAATAAAATTACAAAAGTATAAAATCTCAGGATGGTGGAGAGTAGAAATCAATCACATGCTTCCAACTGAGTGAGTTTACCACTTGTCTAGCAATTATCATAAGTGCTTCCCCACCACTGAGAGTGAGAACGGAAGCTGCTGTCACTGCCACTTTGGTGTTGTATGTTGCTATTTTATCCAATCTATTCCTGTAAATAACTTCTCAAAAAACCTTAAATACCCATTTCAAAAGCACTTCTTAAAGGAAAGTACCCACTTCTACTTCTTTCTCAAAACTTGGCATTTTAACTGCCAAATTTTCACAAAGGATGGAACAGACCTGCTGAGAAAATAGAAAAAAAAAAATAAAGCCAACACCTAGAGTAATGTTTAAGTAGTATGGTTTATTTTCCATTTCATGTGAACAATATAATGCTTTTGTTAAGTTGTAGCCATTTCATGCTAAAAGTGAAATTAAAAAAGGCCTTTCATTAGCATAGGTAAATAAAAATACTTTTGCCTATTTAGCATATTTAATATTTAATCATATGTATATGACTGGCAGTTTTTGGATGGGTGTCCACAACACCAATAATTTGCCTCACATTTGGGAGAATATATTTTATGTAGGAAGTAGGATTAGTTAGAAGCCATTTCAAACATAGAATTCCACAGAAACCATGGGAAAACAATCCTTGTCTAGAAATGCATGTCACTGAGCTCTTCACAGCCCTAATACTCACTAGCCTGACTTAAGGACCAGCCATTTTGCAACTTCACACAATAACAGGTGCTGTTTGTCTCTAGTGTTCTGTCACCTGCTAACATGAACTTTTCCTAAATACTTATAACTGGATCTTGACAATATCATTCTGGCAGACTTGCTGTCCATCACACATTTTTATCATTCTCCATGCTCTTTCTCATTGCCCAGGCCCCGTCTTGAGTACTACTACCTAAATCCTTACACGCCAATCATTTACATCCATGACTTCGTTACCTATTACCTCAGGTGAAAATTGAGTTGCTTGACTTTCAAAATCTAAATTAGCATAAGCCTACTCTCTACTTGCAACTCTGTCTTCCAGGAGTCCTCATAATTTAGCTCCCATTCCCTGCTCCATGGTTTTTTCTTTCTTCCTGCCAACCCCAAATTTATCTGCCTATCCATTTACTTCTGATATCCTTTTTGATTGAATTACATTTCTTCTCCCTATATTCTCCAGTATTTTACTACTGTTAACTTTCCAAGAGCTATCACAATTATTTTAAGCCCTATCTTTTAATTTTTTTCTTAATTCCTTTCAAAGTACAACAAAATGTTTATGATGTTTGTCTCTATCAAGCACATTGTAAACTCCTCCAAAGCTGAAACTGTGCTACAGATTTTGTAGCTGCAAATGTGTGGTTGGCAACAGTGGAACCTGTGGATAAATGATTTCTTAATTAGATACTATAGAGAAAAGAAAGTATTTGTTTTCGCCAAGAAGCTTCAATGATGCATATCAGGTACCAGAACCAAATGTATGATCACACCAAAATTTTCTAAGGGATCAGGAATCAGTTAATGAGCTGTGCTTCATCAACAAGGTACAAAGAGCTACGATAGGACACAGGGTGACGCTTTGAAAAGATTTGCTTGCTTTATGGTTAGACACATTCAAGGTCAGACTCATGTCTCAATTCAATATAGATGAAAGGATTCAAGTGGGCCATTTATAAAGTTTAAAATCTGTCATTTATTGTTGGTAAGGTGATGAGATAGTTGGAATGCTGTATTATTCAGGAACATACTAAGAATATTTACACATATATGATCATCTATCTATCTATCTTTTTATTTTTTATTTGACAGGTAGAGTTACAAACAGTGAGAGAGACAGAAAAAGGTCTTCCTTCTGTTGGTTCACTCACCAAATGACCGCCACGGCCGGTACTGCACCAATCTGAAGCCAGGAGCCAGGTGCTTCCTCCTGGTCTCCCATGCTGGTGCAGGGGCCCAAGCACCTGGGCCATCCTCCACTGCCCTCCTGGGCCACAACAGAGAGCTGGACTGGAAGAGGAGCAACCAGGACTAGAACCCGGTGTCCATATTGGATGCCGGTGCCGCAGGTGGAGAATTAACCAAGTGAGCCATGGCGCCGGCCCCTATCTATCTTATCTATCTATCTATCAATCAAACTATCTATCTAATCTACCTATCTACCTATAGAGGAGATAAATAATTGGCTTATAAAATTGTGGAGGTTGGAAATTCTGAAGTTTGTCGTGTAGTCTGTTGGCTGAAAACCTCAGTTTTGCTTTTAAGGCCTTCATCTAGTTAGATGAGGATGGTTCACATTATCAAGGACCATTTTATTTACTTAGTGAAACTGATTCTAGATATGGATCACAATACCAAATACTCCACAGCAATTCTTATATTACTGCTTAGATTACAGCCTATGATCTTTTGCCAAGTTGACACACAGAACTAATCACCACAGCTGGTATCCGAACTTCTGCTTTATAAATCTCATAGGCAAGCCACGTTGTTAGATGTTTGTAGTGAATGAAAGATTACAACTCCATGAGGATCCAGGTGTTCTATCAGCGTCTTCTAGGACACAGGATGCATGGGCCTCATCCACCTGTAAGAGATGCAGAATTGAGTCATACATCCTATTGGATAGTACTTATAAAAGGATTGCAACCAGATTCATACATGCTGAAGGCATCAGTTTCCCTGAAAACTCAGAAGGGAGTAGATGATAAGCCTGAGAATCACACATCAGTGACTCAAAGACTTCCAGTGGGATGATGCTGGAAACAGAGATGAGCTCTCCATAGGATCCCCAAATATCCCATTAGAAGGAAAGGTGAAAGTACCAGCTGTTACCAGGAAACTAAATGCCCATATTAAACAACTTCATTTATGGAGCAAAATGTTCCTTCTCCCTTCTTAATAGCTGTGATGTCCCTCAGCACCCAGATAGTTAGAAATACTCCTAAATGAGTCAGGGAGGTGATGATTGTGCAAACACAGTCTCTTCTCAGGCTGCAGGCCGCTTGTCTAGAACCAGGGCAGGGGCAGTGGAGCAGCCTCATCCTTGAGGAAAAGCAAAAACATATTTTTGATTATGTCACAGAAACAGACAACCCAAGGGCCAATTTTAAAACTTTGTGATTGTCTCTTACAAGAAATAAAAGCATTTTTGCTAAGTAAGATTTGCCAAGGGAGGGGGGGTAAGACCATCTGAATTTTCACCCAATAACATAGGAAGAACTTTAACATTATATAAATTCTAAAAGAGCCAGATCAAGGTTTCGTTTCATTTCCTTTTTCTTTTTCTTTATTTCCATTTCTTTTTTTCCAGCTTCTTTTGACTAAACTTTGCTCAAAATACTGGCTGTAATACTCAATAGGAATGATACCAGAACATGTGATTCCAGTAACAAGTAAAATTGAATACTTAACCTAAGACTTTGTCAGAAGTTATGGATTACACTGAATCACATAGAGGTAAGGAGTATAGAAAAGGGGAAATAAGGTTTCACGTGGCTTGTTGGGAGGCTGAGGGATGTAGTTTAACTAGAAATAAGGTCTGTATCATGAATAAGCAACACATCCATTCACAATTGCTAGGATGAAAGCCTTACTTTCACAAGTAATGAAAAATCTTCAGATGTTTTTGAATAATGGATCATTGTGATTAAATCTGTGCTACATTTACAGACCACTAAAGATAACAGGTATAGAAATCTAAATACATACATACATATATGTGCATGTATGTGTGTGCGTATACACACATGTGTATGTGCACAAATACATGGAACAAACTTACAGCTCATGCCATTATGTAGTTTCTGATAGCCTAGTACCAGCCTAGTTTCTGATAGTCTAGTACTAGCCTAGTACCAGGAGACTAGTCATCTTGCATATTTTCAGATTCTTTTAGCTTTTTGTAAAGGAGAAATACTCTAAAGAGAATCAAATCCTTGAACTTTATATTCAAAATTTCCCAATGAATTCCTTGTGGTACTGTTCAAATATCACAATCTCAACATAAAAAGTAGAGATACATTAGAAGTTAGGTACAATTAAATAACCACACTGACACGGAGCATACATTTGGCCTAGTGGTTAAGATGTTGCTAGGGACTCCCACCTCCCACGTGGAGTATCTGGCTTTGAGTCTTCTCTTGCTCCTGACTCAGCGTCTGACTAACACACACCTTGGGAGATTCTGAGTTTGCTCAAGTGGTTGAGTCCCTTCCATTTTTGTGGAAGACCTGGGCTAAGTTGCTGGATCTCGCTATCTACCTGTCCCATCCCTGGCAGTTAGAATCATTTGGCAAGAGAACACCAAATAAGAGATTCCTCCTCTCTTTCTCTCTCTTCCTCTCTCCTTCCTCTCTCTCTCTGTGTGTGTGTGTGTGTGTGTGTGTGTGTTTGATTTTCAAATAAATGAACATTTTACAAATAAACATGACAGAAATGGTAAAATCATGGATGAGGGCCTGCCGCAGAAATCTTGTGAGACAATTGGACTTTCCCTATGTATTTTGTTCTGTTTCCAGAATATTATTGGATACAGAAGCCATACATTTCCCTATAAAAGTTTGTACATTCTCTACGGCTTCACCCTTTGTGATACTCCTAATCCCATGTCTCAAGGGAACAATAGAACTTCCTGTGGTATTTAGGTGCAGCCTCTCTTTCATCTCCCACTATGAGTCACTGATTTCTTTTGATTAACCCATGACTAAGACTGACTATTTTGAAATGGTACTTAAGCACTTTATGAATGAAACTGACTTTTTTTTTCTAATCTCATATCAGACCATTTTCTATATGTACTATGTATTCAATTCAAGTAGAGCTATAGTAAGATTACAGCAATCTAGGGTAAAGTTAGGGCATTGATAACACTAAGTCATAGTTAAACATTTGGAAGTGGATTCATTGTGGCTAGGGTCTGTGGAAACAAGTATTCTTATCAGCACTTGATGACAAGAAAATGATGGATTATTAATAATGGATAATTAACAGTCATTTCCTATTCTGGAGGAAGACAAAGTTGTCAGGTCTTGGTGTCAAGTCATGGCACCTTACTGGGAACAGCCTTTCATGTAAGCCCAAGGACATCATAGAGTTTGGAGGTCACAATTCTGTATTCACCCCACACTGCACCCAATTTGCTTCTCCATTGCTGTGAATTTTGAGTAAGACTCATTTTCATAAGAATATAGATATTTGATTACAGTATTCAACCAAAAGTATTAAGTAGAACAAATAAACAAAAAAGTACTAAGAGGGATAACGTATTAAGTTGTTCATCAACAGTCAGGGCAAGGGCTGATCAAGTCACCGATTATCATAGTGTTCATTTCACTTTAACAGGTTTCCTTTTTGGTTCTCAGTTAGTTGTCACCGATACTGTAATCAATACACAGTTATTCTCAAGTGTTGAAACTTAATTGAAAAGTGATTGCTGTTAAATATAAGAGTGGGAGTAAGAGAGGGAAGAGATGTTCAATTCGGGACATGCTCAAGGTGACTTACCTCAACCGGAAGAGTTAGAAACATACCAGGGGATTCCAATTCAATCCCATCAAGGTGGCATGGAGAAATGCCATCTTACTAGTCAAAGTGATCAGTTTCTGTTCACAATTGATCATAATGATAGGAGTAAGAGCCAAAGGGATCACATTAAACAAGACTAGTGTCTGCAAATACTAAATGATAGAATAAAAAGGGGAGAGAACGATCCAATATGGGAAGCGAGATACACAGCAGACCCATAGAATGGCAGATGTCCTAAACAGCACTCTGGCCTCAGAATCAGCCCTTAAGGTGTGTGGATCTGCATGAAAAGCCCATGAGAGTATTTCAGGCATGGAAAGCCAAGACACTCTGGGGAAAAAAACAAAAACAAAAACAAAAACAAAAACAAAAACAAAAACACACCCTACATGAAAGATCTCCACGAGTGAGAACCCAGTGGAAAGAACGGGTCATCAAAGAAGCAGGTGCCTTTCTCTGAAGGGAGGAGAGAACTTCCACTCTGACTACGACCTTGTCTAAATATGATCAGAGTTGGTGAACTGAAAAGGCTTCCATAGCCTTGGCGACTCATGACAAGAGCCTAAGGTGATTACTGATGCCATAAACCAGAGTGTCAATTTGTTAAGTCAACAACAGGAGGCACTGTGCACTTACTCCTCATGTAGGATCTCTGTCCTTAATGTGCTGTACTCAAACAGTATTTTTCACTTTGTGTTTCTATGTGGGTGCAAACTGTTAAAATCTCTACTTAATATATGCTAAACTGATCTTCTGTATATAAAGATAATTGAAAATAAATCTTGATATGAATGGAAGGGGGGAGGGAGAGGGAAAGGGGAGGGTTGCGGGTGGGAGGGAAGTTATGGGGGGGGGAGCCATTGTAATCCATAAGCTGTACTTTGGAAATTTATATTCATTAAATAAAAGTTAAAAAAAAAGAATTTAGATATTTTTAGAATAATGGTCAAATGTCTAGACTTTGGATTAATTAGTGAGAGTCTAGAAGTAATTTCTCACTCTATACTTACATACTCTATTACCTTTGGAAACGCTGCAAATTTAGTCACTCAAAGCCTCTGAAGTCTCATCTGGAAAATTGAAATGCAACTTGGGATTTGAAGAAAACATAACTAAGTAGCAAAAAAATTAGGGATTGAACAATTTGGAGATTACTGCTCTAAATTTTGATAATCTTGGTTTTATTGGTATGAATTTGCTTTTACTTTCAAACTTGGCTACATGAGAAGACTTCAAAATGTGGATGGTAAATAGATTTAAAGTACATTTTGGTGTAGAACAATTTAAATTCATGCATGCAAGGAGTCTTCAGAAAATTCATGAAAAAAAGCATCATGAAAAAACCACATATAGGTTTCAAAAATTTCTGAATCAAAATAAACTTATCTTTTAATTCAATTATTCCATAAACATTTGAAGTATCTTAATATATTAAAAATGTATTGATCTTAACTTCTCTGTCCTCTAGTTTATGCAGAATGCAACTTCTTTTAAGATTTAAACTATTCTTTTCTACAAACTAGTAAACCTTACTTTTACAATTTTAATTAGAACTATCATTGATCTCATTCTACTATTTTTTGAAATACATTTGTTTTCTTCATCTTAAGACTTGGAAATTATGGAGAAATACTCAATAAATACTACAGCCTCTCAAAAACAGTTACAACTACACACAAACACCTGCAAACTGTTCAATGTACACTTTATTTAATATATGTAAACAAACCTATGTAAATCTATGTAAATTTTAGCTCATAGTTGCAAGCATTCAGGAAGTAAAATTTTGTTCTCTGCTTTATTATTGTAAGAGTAAAACAAGTCTTGTTTAACATTATTTTGACTGCTTTGTAAATGTAACACTAATGACTACAAAAATTACTTAATGTCAATATCTTAATGCACATAATTATTTCTATTTCACACTTGTTTTGGATTGTTTCTAGAAAATTTAGCAGTGTAAACAATATTTTTAAATTATTATCCTCCACACTTAAAAATTTTATGATGTTGTAAGATTTTTTAATTGTTTGCCAAAGTATTGTTACTACAAAAATATGAGAAATCTATCATTTTTATATTTATTATAATTCCAAGCACTAAAAATCTCTATGATCAGTTTTAAACAATATCATTATACCTAGAGAGATTATAAAAACTATTTTATCAATAATTTATGCAAACAACATTTAAACATTGCTATTCCATACCAGGCACTACTCCGGGCATTGAACATTCACTTATGAACTAAAGAGAAAAGTGTGCTTTTTTTTCCCGTCATTTAGGTATTTGTGTAGAATTAGAAAGGAACTACATCATCACCTAAGTATAAAGAACAAAAAAGAAAGATTGACCAAATTAAGGTAGGAGCAAAGGAGCCAGGAAGGGAAGGAGGTTGGGAAGGGAGAAGAAGTTGAAATCAAGTGTAAGAGGAAATAATGAGGTTAATACTCTGTAGGAATTATGTTTATTAATATAATAGCTTAAAGGTCAACAATGTTCATGCTAAAATGAGAGAGTGAAAAAGCAGTCAAATACTGGGAGATCCAAACCTTGTGCTTGATTGAAGTTCAGCATCTAAAATGACAGAGACATGTCCTGATGAGTTGGATCCAAAACTTGCCCCTGTGACCCACTCTGAATAATGTCTAATGTCTAGTGCAGAGTTCTTTTCTCCTGTTTAATGTTTGGGGTGATCTTTTTCATGCCTGCAGTCAAGAGTGAAGAATTTTTATGAATCCACTTTGCCTTTTGTCATGTTCAAGGAAAGAGAGGTCCAGAATCCTTAGCCTTACCAACGTACATTGCAATGGTCACCTGGATATTACTGCATAAGCACTGTACTCAGCAAAGATATTATTTTGATGTTTCATTGATATTTGAAAAGAAGAAGTCTGATTAGATCATTATGTTGGCATCCCAAAGGGCCAAACAAGTAAAGCAGTTGGAGAATCACACCTGGCCTCATATTTTCTGAGAGAGGGTCTTGGCGTCTCTTAATGAGGATGACTGAACGTGTTCCAAATAGCTTTGTTTGTTATCTTATTTGCAAAGGATCACAGAACATAAGATGATTCAAAGGGACTTCTAAATGCAAATATCTCAATTAAGGAAGACAGGATTCCAAGAAAGATAATAAGCCTGCAATTGGTAAGCTGGTTACTAAAAATATTCTTCTTTCAGTCCTGGTGTTTTGAAAGTGTTAAGGAGTAATGTCATTCCTTCCTTTATGTGGCAACAAGTGTCAAAGACATTCTTTCCTAGGCTGAACATTTTCCCTTGGTTGTTTTTTTTTCCTTTTTTATTAAAGTTGCCACTTTTCAAATTGCCAAGAAATTTCCCAATTTGAAGCTGAAGATAGCATTACATGTGAGCAGTTATCTGAATAACAATTTTTTTTCAGTTAATTAGGTAGCGTGATAATGATCCTTTTTGGGGGAGTTGTTTGTTTTTTCGAAATTGAGCGGTGTCTTTTACGGAACAATGAGAGAGCTGATTCAGTGTGGGCGTCTTTTGTTTTGGAAGTACTGTCCTCTATTGTGAAATTAAATTAAGGAAGCTGTATTCAATATTAATGCTATTTCTCATAGCCTAATAGGTTCAGATTTGTAGCAATATAAGAACTGTTTAGTTAGGAGTGGTCAGTGAGTCTTATCTAAGTGTATGTCAATAAATAAGTTCTTCAGCCTCAAATATTAGAGGGTAAAAGTGGGTAGCTTTTATGATTTTCTCTCTCATTAGCAAGTGGGTGATCATCAGAATTGACTTTACAATCATTATTAATCAATATGTTTCTGCCTGGCAGAATCCTTTCAATTCAGAAACAACTGATCTTGGCCCGTATTTAGCACTGCATCTGATCAAAGCTCCCTAGACCGGGTCCACGGCTCACATTCAGGCAAAAGAACAAATTAAAACCCACATGAAATCTGTCCAGACAGTCCAGAGTTCTGTAAGATGTTATCATGCTCCCAATAGACGTTCTGTCATCCTACTTTGACAAATAAAAGTCCTCATTAACACCTGAAGGCCAGGTTGAAATTCTGCATTGAGGACTCCTGGGATTTTCTCACAGGAATGTGCTGGCCTGGAATGAGTGGGAGTGCCCCCTTATCTGAGATATGCCTTCATCCTCTGTACTCACACCAGCTCTGTCCTGCCCTGTGATGCAGGTGTGTGCACATTGGAGCCGGCCCCTGTGTGGACACTCCAGCTGCCCACTCAGTAGTGCTCAGCACTGGGGTGTATACACCAGGCAGAATCCAGACTGCATTTTCAAGGATGAATGTAGGGTAGGGCCTGCGTGGGTCCTGGAAGTAGGTGTGCTCCTATTAGCCAGGGATTCGGGAGCCCTGGATAGAGTTGGGACATCGTGTGAAAGAGGAGGGATGCAAGCTTTCGTGGGCATGCTCTTCAACAGGAAAAGCACAGCCTGGAGAGAATCAGACAAGACTGACAGTCAAAGCCCTAGGCCTCTGGAGAGTCACCAGGAGTGAGCGCCACATTCTGTACTTCCGAGCTGAAAGACACACCACGATTTTTAGGGCTAACAAATCAATGCATTCCGTAGCACACCTTAGGAAGGCCATCGCTCAGCTTAAGGAACAATAATTCTCAAGCCTGCCGTGGCATATTTTATTATAGCACTACTAAATCATACCTCATATATTTTATTAGGAACACAATTCTCAGTTAAAATCAGGCACAATTTCCCTGTGTGTGAGCCTGTGTAAATGTGTCTACTGGCTCTATCACTCTGCCAGTGCTTACAGTCTTTTTTCTCATTACCTCCTCTCTTTGCCTATATCCTGCTCTTTCTCTGAGATGTGCTATGTCCTCTTCCCCTATAATCCTTCGATTTTGTCTCACTCTCTCTTTAGCCTGCTCACACACACTCACATGAACATCAAGTAGAGTAAAAGAGTTTGCAAAGTGGAGGGTTAGAAACACATAAGACTTGGTCCAGAGTATTCAGAGACAACAGGTGCAAACATACTCTGATTCCAAAAACAGACTCACTAGTGTAACAAAATCCTTGGGATGTATTTTTGTGGTTTTGTTTTGTTTTGTTTTCACATTCCACATATTTCTCTCAAAGAGACCAGCATTGTGGAGCAGTGGGTTAAGCCATTGCCTGTGACTCCTACATCCAATACTGGAGACTGATTCAAGTCCTATCTGTTCCTCTTATAATCCAACTTGCTGCTAAAGTGCCTAGGAAGGCAGCGGGAGATGGTCCAGTACTCAGGCCCCTGCCACCCATGTGGAGATCAGAGGGCAATACGGGGATCTTGGTTTAGGCCTGGAACATGCAGGCTATTGTAGCTATTTGGGGCCTGAACCGCTATGGAAGATCTCTCTCTCTCCCACTCTCCCTATAACTGCGTCTTTTAAATAAATAAATAAATCTTAAACAGAGAGAGAGAGAGAGTGAAAGAGAGAGAGAGAGAAAGGAATACCTAATGCTACTATTTTAACCCAGAAGTCACAGTATTTTCAATTAAATAAACACACGGCTGTTATTCCTTTGAGTAAACAGGTGAGGGAGGACATTCAGGGTCAAGCATTAGACAAAATATGACACCAACAGCCACTTTCTAGAGGACAAAAAACTATGCTATTTCACTAATAACTGAATGAACCTTAAACCTTTTATAAAACAGATTAAGTTATTTGATTCAAAAATGTTTTCTCTTGAATTTCCACAGAGATCACTGTGAAGGGAGTCACACTAAGATAAATGCCCTGGCTCATGAATTTAGTGTCCAAAAACCGCTTCCTATTTTAATTTAGAAATAGAATTCCATGTTTTGTTGTTTTACTTTCTTCATTGTATTTTTTCCCCTGTGGTCTCATAATTTCATAATTGTTTTAATGTACAATCAAGTCTATATCAATATTCCGTTATATGTAATTTATGTGTCAAATTACCTATAGCTTTTTTCACTATATAATAACTAAAAGTTGATTTTCTTTAAATTATCACTACAGATTAATATAATAAATTATCACTACATATTAATTATTTATGTTCTTGAACTTACTATACTTGTTTATATATACAGGATGTGGAAAGTATGCTTTTTTCTTGTGTTCCATATCTGATATGTTAAAGATTTGAAAAAGTTTAACTTTAAACATTTAATTTTAATGATATTTTTGCAGTAAACTGATAAACCATTAATATTATATGATAACTTCTTAACATTAGTTGGCATGTTTTAACATCATCTTTAAAAGAACTACATAGTAGATCTCAACAACTTACTTTGTGAGCCAAAAACATACATGAATCAATGGTCTCCAAGCTAAGGCAGCTGCTTGTCAATTAAGTGAGGCTTTTACTGGTTCTCTGGTCTTTAGTCAGCACAGCTTTTCTTCATTAAAATACCCCGCTCCTTTTTCCTGTTCTGAACATGCATTTGTAAAAAGAGAAGCAGGAAGAGCAACTATTCTGCAAGTCTGATTCATACCCTTTTGATAATTTAACCTTTAGAACAATAAACAAATAAGCTGAAAAAACTGAGGTTCAATTCCATATCAGTCATTTCTTAAATGAGATGCTCCAAGTTCTTGTGCTCTGTGCATGATATGATATATAGCTGATCCTAAGAACATGCAGATATTTAAGTGTTGTTGTATCTGCATGAGATCACATGCTTGCCTTTTGCTGTAAATGTTCCCAAGTACTTATGAGGAAATTAATTCAACTCTTAAAGAAACCAAAATTTGCATCCATTTTTTTCTCCCTTTTCCTCTTTATGAGTACAAGAAGTCAGCAGAGGTAATGAATATGGTTCCAAATAGCATAAATTTGGCAAACATATACCAATGAAATCCACTCAACTGAATTTGTACCTTCCATTCTTTGACAAGTTAATCTATATTCATAATAAGACAACATCTACCAGGAGGATTATGTGAACTAAGTCACTAGAATCTACAAGGAACACACACCAGTGTGGTTCTTTTTTACTCACTGTTACTTCCAGCCTGTTAGTTCCATAGATTGAGTGAGGAGGGTTGGGAGAGAACGGAAGAAAGACTGCTGTCAAGAATTAAACTGCACAGCATGAAAGGAAAGATCCCATTCAAACATGAGACGTGGAAAACCTAGTGACCAACACTATATCACATAGATCTCAATGAGCAATTCATTTTATTGTACCTTGGTCTTTCTCTCATTCTGCATTTTCAATGTGATTTTGTACTTAAAGATAGCCTTTTTTCAAGTTTGGCTGAACAACCTGCAGTGATTGAAGTTATTGGTTTTTTCAAACCTGGGGGAAGAGTCTGTTCAAATGTCCCTTACTCTCCAACGTTAAATGTCAGTTGATGAAGAATGTGCCTTAATTGCATGGAGCTATTCTAGCATCAAATATTCTTGCTGAGGAAAAATAAGGTAGGGGGAGGAGTTGAGATGAATCAGTGCCGATCACTTCATGCAGTCATTAAGGAAGGGCAGTCATCTCAGTAAACCTGCCAAACCATGCTCAACTTTGAGCAGAACCCACCAGGTGTGGTAACAAGGACACAGGTGATGCATAGCTAAGCATGTAGGAATTCAAGTAGAGACATTTCAAAACACTATGCCCGCAATACTGCGGCTTAATTGAAAGGTCTGATTTTGGAAGAGGTTCACCAAGGCAGACATTTCCTGAAGCAATCTTCGTATTTTGTGCATAAAGCGGCCCACTTATGAAAGAGCATGAAATCTCATAGCATTGGGTGGGAAATGAAACATTCACAAAAACACCCTCTTCCACTTCTGCAAAATGTCATGGTCTACTGACCCCTGTGCATAACAAAATGTCACGTATGCTACAGTCAGTGAGTCCTAAAGTTAGAGAATTAGAGAATGTGGACGAAATAATGTTTGCTCCCTCTTGGCCTTACTGTCTCAGTTTCTCGTGAAGTTAAGTGTTGCCTGAGTTAATATAATGGATAATATTGCTTAGTATAAGCATGGATTAGCCGAGAAGATTGCTATTGATTATTACATAATAATAGTTTTTAAATGCTTTGCTTCATACTCACATGGCATCCCAGTAGTACCTAGGTAAATGCCAATAAACATTGATATTACTCTGAATTGTT